TGACTGTGGTCGGTGGACGGTGCGGTGGTCGGAGGTTGGTGGACTGCCGGCTGGAGCTTCGAAATCGAAGGTATAACTGTACAACGAGGTCGAACTTTCCGCTCTTGGAATGGGTATTGTTCTCTCTCTCTCTATCTCCACTCACACACACACACAAGCATTAGATTGGTGACTTATTTTTGTTGTGGGATTCAATATAGTTGTCTTTCACTTACAGCTGCATTTGGTTGATTAACACGGTATAATGTCAATATGTCATATAATTATTACCTATTTACCTCAAAAATCTTGGCATCTTGTCTTGGATTCTTGATCTTGCCCTTGTCAGCTTGTGAGTTGTGATTTGTGAACCTGTTAGTGTCTGGATTTTTCTATGAATTATGAATCTGTGAACTGTGATTTTGGATTTCTGGGTCACATCCTCAGTCCCTCACTGGGTGCACAGTGCATTCTGAGTTTTTTTTTTTTTTTAGTTTTTGTGAATTACGGAGTATGATAAATGAGAATTTACGATATATTATTGTTTATGACTTATAATTTTGAATTGTGTAACGGGAATTGTGATTTGAGAATTTAGGGTTTTAGGAAATTAGGGATAAGTGAAAAAATTCGGCTATTACGATGGTTGATTGTCAACGGTCAACGGTCTCCGCTCTNGAATTATATTTTTGGCTACAACGATCGTTGATCGTCAACGGTCATCGGTCAACAGTCAGCGGTCGATCAACCATCTTCGCGACTCCGCCCTAGCTGATCGAAACTTCTGGATTCGCCCCTGGACACACATATGAGTATTAGAATATAATTAAAAACAAATACTAAATTGTATCTTCTTATTCAAAAAAAAATATTATACTCAATTTTACATATTTTATGAAGTACATTTGAAAGTTCTGAAAATCATTCGTGATTGCTACAATTGGTTTATTTGATCGTTGTGTCCTGAAAGCAATTGTCAATAGAGGTCGCGGAGTTATCGATTGAGACTTTCGTTTTAGGATATCGTGCTATCATGGGACTCAATCAGTTGATAAGTTTTATTTATGCACTTTACTGTATTGCAACTAATAATATTTCTAACAAAACATTTCGTCAAACCTTGTACGATTGCCCATTCATCATCTACTAATCTCAGTTCTGCAAGAGCTTTTGTTAAATCTTGTACATTCAATGTAAAAATCTCTGTTGAATGGACTATATTGCACCCCTCACTTGGAAAAAAACCCTAGCCTCCTACTTAAAGTTATATGAAAAACAACCTTGGTGACAAAACTCTCTTCCTAAAATCACATAGGTTTTTAGAGAGAGAACTTGTGGGGCATATTTGTACGAAATATCATACAAACTTTTGATGAAGTAAATGAAAAATAACAAATATGACAAGAATTTTAGCGAAAGTGTAAAATGATTTTGTGAAAATTACACGAGTTACATTTTTGAAATTCCCATCTTAGTGTACCTTGATCTTTATTTCTAAAATATTGTTTTCATTTTACCATTACTGTCTAAATCAAAATTCAAATATAAACATTAAAATCCATACCGCCGCCCCTGCCACACATCACCATCACTCCACCCAGTGGACCATCACCATGGTGCAATCTTCCACCATCTCTTTCTTTCGAGATATGGATGTGTAATTACATAAATATTTGTTTTCATTTTGATTTATGATATTGGTATTTGTGGTAGGAGTAGGGATTTGATTGAATGGTGACGGTGTTGCGATGGTGGTGTTATAGTTGAGGTGGTGGTGATGGTGGTGCAACAATAGGGAATGTTAGCGTTTGGTAATTTCTTTTTATTTCTCAGTGGCATGGATGGTAGAGGAAGGATAGGTTAAGGTTCGATGACTTTTGTGGAAGTGGCGGTGGAGATGGTAGTCGGGCAATGTGGAAGTTTAAGGTTTGGTTACTTCTATTAATTTTTGGTGGTGGCATGAAGATCTAGTCACTCTTGGTGGTAAAGATCTAGTTATACAGATTATCGATAGGATGCGTTAAGGTTATAGAGATGGTGGTTTATGGTGGAGGCACATGACGATAGTGGTGATGGAGATTTAATTTCAAGAGTGGTGGTGGTCAATGGGATGGGCTAATATTTTGGTAGATTATGTTGGAGGAATACGACAAGTGGTGGTGTGTTGGCACATAGCTGTGGTTTGGGGGTGAGAGTGAGGGTGGAGTGACGATGCTGCAGACGGTGGTGATGGTGATAGGTCGTGCAGATATAGCGGTTTAGAGAGGTGGTTGTGGTGTTTGTGTCGGTTGCAGCGATGGTGGCGACGTGTAACATCGTATTACACATGTTACACTTTGTGTAATGGCGTCGATGACATAACAAAGTTTGTTACAAATCAAAACGAAAGTGTAACACAAAAAGAGTGAACATTATTTTTGTAACAAAAAAAGTTGAACAATTTTGAAATAGTTTGCATTTTATTATATTTGTGAAAATATCGAAGCTTTTATTAGAATATAAGTTGTGGGTATAATGAGTAGGTAAAAATTGTGAAGCCTATAAGATGTATGAATAAAATAGAGTTGATCTTCTTATAAGAAATTATAAATTTTGTTGAACATGCACAAAGGCTAAAAAAGGTGGAAATTACATCCATACATGTGTTTTATCTTTTCAATTTAAAAATAAGGTTAAAATTTTTTTTGTTCAAAAATTTGGTGGTAATTCAACTTTAATTATTAATAATAATACCATAAAATTAAATTAATCTACTCACACCCTCCCACTCCACCAAAATTTCTCCCCAAATATTAAATTATTTAACATATATGAGTCTTTGAAGTTGAGGATGAAGAAGAGGCGATAAGTGAAGCTGAGGAAGATCAAGACCAACAGTAAAGAGACCACTCCTCATTGCACCGGTAACCGTAGAGACGTCAGCCACTATAGAGAGCGTCGTCAAATTGTAGAACAAGAGAACTACCAAGCATTACACTGTTGCATGCAGTGACGTTCATTGTTGTTGCACGCATCGGCCTTGTGTTTTCTAATTCAGTGATTTATTGGTGGTGATGTGGGTAGTTGTTGGTGGTTTTCTAATCTGATGTGGGTGGATTGCATTGTGAGTGGTTTGTGGGTGGTTTTCTGATTCGATCTACTGCTTAGCTAGAGTTTTGGGGTGGGGGGGGGGTGGGGGGGTGTTGATGTTTTGCAAATGGTGGCGATGGTATGGTGGTAATGGTACTGGCGGTGATGGTGAGGTAGTGGTGGTAATGGCAGTGGTTGTGCTAGTGGTGGTAGTGATGATGAAGATTGTGGTGAAGTGGTGGTAATGTTGGTGATAGTGGTGTGGTGGGCCTTCGATTGGTGCCGATGGTGGAATGGAGATGAGGTGAGGGTGGGATTTTGGGTGATTGTGAGCAATAAATTGATTAATTTGTGATCAATAAATAATATGTGACATAAAAAATGTGAGATTGCTACTAAATTTGTACATGATAAACGTAGCTGGAAATAATGAAAACTAATTTCTGTTGTGCACTTCATCCACAACACACGTTAGAATTCATTAGTAAAATTTAATGCATAGGTGCAAGCGTAGAATTGTTCTCCATGCAACTATATACATAGAACTTTTTTATACTTTTAACCATATTCTCAAGAAAATCAAATTGAAAAAAGTCGTGCCCAAAAGAAGAATAAGAGCTTGTAAATACATCACTGTCGAACAATCTTTTAAGAGAGGGTTTCAAACAAGACTTTTAATCATTAAAATATTTGACAAGCAAGACTAGAAAGAAGTAAACATTACTATATGACACACTTCTCTTCACTAATCATATTCAATTTGATCATATTGACCAGTAATAAACTTAACGTGCTTCATATTTAAGGATGTTGAAAGGAGCCAAGCCGGTTGACTTGACTCGCCTAAATAGTGAGTCGAGGCATCCTAGACGAGTTGTGAACATAAGTCTAGCAACTAATAACTCTTGCACACCAGCTTACGTCAGGCTCGTAAGCGGCACACATTTTAGCTGATTTGACTTTATTAAAAAGAGAGAGAGAGAGAGAGAATGGTTGTAAGTGACTCATGAGACTTCTTGAGGTTTGCCGCTCATCAGGTCGAGCAGCTCGTCTTACTTCATGTAACACTCCTATTTATAGTTCTTGACATTTCAAATTATATTCAACATTGAAATGTTAGGTTTGAGTCTTTTCTTAAGCGTAAGATTTGATTTATTGACTACATAAAAATTGAAATTAATAAGCCCTGCCATATTTCATGTATTTATAATTTTTATTAATTTTTCAATCGAATATTGTGTTAAATTTTATCAAAATTTACTAACTTGATTTTTAGCAAAAATTTACAACGAAAAATGCATGTGTGAAAAAATTTTAAAAAGGAAGAATTAAGCTGGGAACAGGGAACCTTGCCCTTCTCTCAAGAAATCATAACGAATAAAAACAGGAAATCCCCCAAAGAAAACTCAATTTTCCATCTTCCCTGAAAATTATAAATCTTCCTTCTGTCGATCCACTCGAAAGTTAGATTAAAAATTAGTCTCATTCGGTTCAATTCCTTCTGCAAAACACTGTTCACTTCTCTTGCGTCAAAATATTAATTTCTGCACTTGTATACAATTAATATTAATATCTGCACATAAATACTTGTGAAGAGTTGAGAGAAGATGGCTGCGGCGACAATGGTGAGCTCGGCCGGTGGGCTGCTGGCGATGTTGAACGAGACCCACCCGGCGCTTAAGCTACATGCGCTCTCTAATCTTAACGCATTCGTTGACTACTTCTGGCCTGAGATCTCCACCTCTGTTCCCATCATGTAAATTTTTTCCTTCTTCATAATTTATATGTATTTTTGTATGTGGGTTTGTATGTAAACTAGGTTTTTCTGACTTGATTGGTATTTCTTTTTCTTTCTTTCTTTTCTTTTCTTTTTTTTATTTATTTATTGTGAGTTTTGTTAAACTTTGGATGTTATGTATTATGGGTTAGGAGAAAAAAGTAGACAATTGTGGAAAATTTCGTTTGAATTTGAGAAAGTCTGAACTTTTTGGGCTTTCTATTTATGTGGGAAATAGTTATTATTTCATTTCTGTTAGGAGGTGCTTGGATGTTATTTATCACTAAGGTCACTGTGAAAACTTTAGATAAACTGTGAAATTTTGGAGTTTTATGGAAATATAGGCTTTAGATAAGATTGAAGAGAGTTTAAATATAAAGAAGTTTGAGTTTTTGTGCTTGAATCAGGTGTTCTTTTTGTTGTGTAAAAAGTACTAGCAAGAGAGTATATAACAGCTTCTGAAGATTGGTGAAACTTTGTTCCAAAGAATTAGGGAATCTTGATATATTTATTGTTTCTGGTTATTGAAGAGAGATGAATTTTGACCTTACACTTTGGCCTTAGGCTTTTTGGAATGGGAGCTATGTGGAAATTTAGCAAGTCGTTGGCCTTTTTGAAACTGATTTATCACTGAAAGCTAAATTGTGTAATTTTCATTGCAAATTCTTTATCTTAGTTATTTATCTTCGATTATAAGTCGTTTGAAAACTTTTTATTGATAAGTACTTTTTTTTTTTTTTTGACGGATTGCTTGCTCATAGTAATCTATTGTCTCTAGATAATATCTGTGTATTTTTTGGTTATTCAGAGAAAGCTTATATGAAGATGAAGAATTTGACCAGAGACCACTAGCTGCATTACTTGTTTCCAAGGTAAAAATATGTTCCTTATGTGTAACTGTAAAAGATGTAGATTTACCTTTTATTTATAAAAGATTAGTGTAAAAGATCTGGAACTACGCCGCAAGAAAGTGTATATAAATCTTAACTATAAAAAATTGAAGTGCAGTGAATTGGTGAAATATTAAGGTGAGAATATCATAGGAGTAGCTGATTTTTGCTTAGACCAGATGTAAAATTTAAAGGTGCAGTGATTTGGTGAAATATTAAGATGGGAATATCTTAGGCTAAGTTGTGGATGTTTGCTCAGACCAGTCCATTGTAAATCATTATTTCATTATCTTTCTTTCTGACTATTTCTTCAATTAATTTACTCTGCTAACTACTATGGCTTTAATAGTGTGATCGAAAAATAACGTAAAAGGGTGATATCAAGTTCCACTGTTTGAAGTATTTACATTAACCAATCAATCCTTATTGTAGGTTCCTTGGGAGTCACTATATTTTCCTCCATTGGAATGCACTTTTCATTAGAAAATAAAAATAAGTTTACAGTTTAAAGTTATGTCCATTTTTTGAAAATTGTACACTTATTTATTTGCCATCGATAATCCCTATATTCTTTTTTTGGCTGTGTTTTGTGTTGGTTTATCTAGTAACATCTGATTATCTTACTAATGAAAGCATACCTATCTGCCATTTGTGTTTTGGGGGTCATTTGATGTCAAGAAGATGGAGGGTAACAATTAGACATGGAAATGTTTGTTTTGAAATATTAGATATGATATTTCCTCTGCAGTGTGGAGATTTTGAGGGACAGTTTTATTACATCAATATGGTTCCTAGAAGAAATTTGAGTTTTATGATGGTGAAGTCTTACAATCTGTTAACACATTTTATCACACACCCAGTTCTTCAGCAACTTTAAGCAAATTACTGGGCGGGGTTAACATAGATGGTTTTCCATGTCTTGTTTCTCCTTAAATTCATTAAATTTGCCTACCATCCCATATTATGTTAATATTCTTATGAGAATTATATATCCCTTTATTCATCAGAACAAGGCATTCATTTTTCTCATTAGTTGCCTTTTTTTGTGTTCTTTGCATGTTTACTTATTATGTTTCTATCATCAGGTTTTCTATTATCTAGGGGAACTGAATGACTCATTATCATATGCCCTTGGAGCTGGTCATCTATTTGATGTTTCAGAGGATTCAGACTATGTTCATACTCTTCTTGGTAAGTATTTAGTCAATGCCCTGTATTCTCTCTCCAAAATAGTGTGCCAAATACTTCTGTTAGGTCAAACAATATGTAGAACCTATTCCAAATGAGAGTGATCGCTTGATTGGTTTTACTTCTGTCCAAGTGACCATATAATATTATTTAGGCGTTTACTAACCAGGCTTGTTAATAATTTTCTATTCTGATCTTGTTTCACTCAGCTAAAGCAATAGACGAGTATGCCAGTCTCAACACTAAGGCAGCTGAGGCACACAATGAATCAGCAACAGTGGACCCTAGACTGGAGGCAATTGTTGAGAGAATGCTTGATAAGTACGTAATTATAGTCTTTGTGATGCCAAAATTGCTGTGTGATTTCCTTTTGCCTTAAACGTGGCCTTTTTTTCTTTATTTTTCAGATGTATCGTGGATGGAAAATACCAACAAGCTATAGGAATGGCCATAGAGTGCAGAAGACTAGATAAACTTGAGGAAGCAATTACAAGGAGTGACAATGCTCATGCAACTATTAGTTATTGTATTGATATCTCTCACTCCTTTGTTAATCGAAGGGAATATCGGCGTGAGGTAAAATCATATAGCAAGCACTGTAAGCTTTTTTGTATAGGTCTTTTCAGAGACGCTATAATAGCCTAATAGGCTTCTATGTTTTTGGTATTGTCTTTTATTTTGTGAGAAGATAGTTACACAAATATTTGTTACCGTTTGTAAATTGTTCCCTCATCCTTACAGAAACATTTTGCTGGTTATATAAAAAATCCTGTGGCCGGAATCCCAAAGTCTCTGCTGCTTCAGTAAACAAAATCTACAATAATTGGATTTAGAAGTAGTAGTAAATGTTAGTAGGTTAAAGGAAACAATAATCGGTCATCTTGAAGCTTGGAGTATAATTGAATATATATATATATATACACATAGTTATGTCATATTCGTGGAAGTAATTTCCTTTCTAATTTTCTCTACTGTTTTTGGAGTTGTGTGACTGCTAGACCACGTCGACCTTCAATGTGAACTTGAGTAGATTGATAATGGTTTGACCTAATCTGAATTGGATTTAATTGATTTAAAATTTGGTTAATAGATGAGAAGTGAATTTTAATGGATGTTAAATTGTTTGCTCTTATAAAAATCATGGCTTACTCAACAAGGGTAAATCTGTGGTCAGATATGGATAAGTTAGATAAATTTGGTTCAAGATTCCTTTTTAATTAGTTTCTCAGTGAAGTTGATTGATTGTACCAGTTGAGGCCAATAATATGAGACGGAATGAGAATTACCGCATGTATAAGCATGAGGCAAAGATCTGTTGTGTTTCAACTGATTTATGTATATAAAATATCTTCATAGATAATAGCAAGTATCATAGTGCTGTCCAATGCCAGTGGTTGGTACAGATAACCTTTATTTGCTAAAACAAAAATAGGGTGCATTTACATTTTCCCATTTTCATATTTTATGCATGGTTAGAGTAGAGTCCTTTAGTTCACTGTGTCTAGGGTTATTTTTGTCTTATTTAAGTTTGCATACATACACAACCACGTGTCTCTGCTGTATCTTTTTAATGATACGATATTAGGTAGTGGGTACCAGAGACTCCCGGTGACCAGAAAATTCCCAAAGCAATCAGGAATTTTAGGATTTTTCAGTTGCTTGATGATTGTAACTACGCACAGGCTCTGAACAATTTACTTTCTTGTATAAAGAATCAATTGGCAATAACAAAGAATGAATTAATATTTTACTTGCATCAAGGTACACTACCAGTGTCAACCTTCGAGTTGAACAGCTGTAGTGTTGGTGTAGGATTTCTGGATGCAAAGTATGGCTCTAACACTACCTTGAGCAGTTTGTATTGGGGAATGCCGTCCTCCATGTATTGTTTCTTTTGTTATAATTAAGGCCATCATTGTAATGAGGTCCCTCAGATTTTTGTTTATTATATAAGTTGCCATCATTATAATGAGTTCCCACAAGTTTGCTAGCTTTTGGCATTCTTTTACACTTAGCAAGCACAGATCCTCCTCCTCCACCATATTATTGTATAATAAATTATCTTCTTACTGTTTCTTAATATGGAAAAACTTATTAGGCATTTCAAACTAAATGTTCAAGAATTATTTTTGATTGTAATTAACATGCTGATCCTGTGCAATACAGGTGCTTCAGCTTCTTGTCAAAGTATATCAGCAACTGCCATCTCCAGATTACTTGAGCATTTGTCAGCGGCTAATGTTTTTGGATGAGCCAGATGGTGTTGCAAGCATACTGGAGAAACTTCTGCGATCAGAAAATAAGGAGGATGCTCTACTGGCGTTTCAGATTGCCTTTGATCTTGTGGAGAACGAACACCAAGCTTTCCTTCTTAGTGTGAGAAACGGGCTCCCAAGTCCCAAGTCACAACCTTCAGAACCCGTGCATTCAGGGTCTCCCGAACCAGGTTCTGTGCAAAGTGGAAACACCACCACAACTGAGGATGTGCAAATGACAAATGGGAGCCAAGTAGATGGGAATGCGCCAAGTCCTGACCCTCGTGAGGCAATTTATGCTGAAAGGATAACAAAAATAAGAGGAATTTTGTCAGGAGAGAATTCAATACAGTTGACTCTGCAATTCTTATACAGTCATAACAAGTGAGGAATCATCCTTCCATTTTATATCATATATTGACTCTTTATCAGATTCATAAACAAATCCTTAAAGAAGGTTGTCAAAAGTCCAATAAACAGTTGGCTCGTTATCTGTTTGCAGGTCAGATCTCCTCGTTCTCAAGACAATAAAGCAATCTGTTGAGATGAGAAATAGTGTCTGTCATAGTGCAACTATATATACTAATGCAATTATGCATGCTGGAACAACTGTGGATACATTTCTTCGGGAGAATCTGGTAAATTAAATTTTCACCTCTACCTCTTTTATTTTATCATATATTGTTTATTCAATTTCAGTATTTCTAACTTATGCAAGTGAATGATCAGGACTGGTTAAGCAGGGCCACAAATTGGGCTAAATTTAGTGCAACAGCAGGACTTGGTGTTATTCATAGAGGCCATCTGAAGCAGGGGAGATCGCTCATGGCCCCTTACCTGCCACAGGGTGGGGCTGGCGGTGGCGGTAGTCCTTATTCTGAAGGTGGAGCATTATATGCTTTAGGTTTGATTCATGCTAACCATGGGGAAGGCATTAAACAATTTCTTCGTGATAGTCTACGAAGTACTAATGTTGAGGTACTTCCTTTTTATGCAAGGATATCTCCCTATTCACTCCTATAAACCTCCATTTGATATTTTCAACTGGAAATTTTGATTGGTGCAGGTTATACAGCATGGTGCTTGCTTAGGTCTTGGTTTGGCCTCTTTGGGAACTGCAGATAACGATGTCTTCGATGACATTAAGAATGTGCTTTACACTGACAGTGCTGTAGCTGGTGAAGCTGCTGGTATTAGTATGGGTTTATTGATGGTTGGAACGGCCAGTGAGAAGGCTGGTGAAATGCTTGCTTATGCACACGAGACTCAGCATGAGAAGATTATCAGGTGAAGACTGCTTCTGTTATCAAAGCCTAGGATGATGATTCTGTCTAAATCCTTCTTTACTATTTTATTTGGTTATGACATCTTGGCAGGGGTTTGGCATTGGGGATAGCTCTTACGGTCTATGGAAGAGAGGAAGAAGCTGATACACTTATTGAGCAAATGACTCGGGATCAAGACCCTATACTACGTTATGGTGGCATGTATGCTTTGGCATTGGCATACCAGGGCACAGGTAACAATAAAGCCATCCGTCAACTTCTGCATTTTGCTGTATCAGATGTGAGTGACGATGTAAGGCGGACAGCTGTTCTGGCTCTTGGGTTTGTCTTGTATGCTGATCCAGAACAGGTTGGTGCCTTTTCTTTTCTGTTGCTTTGAAGCTTATAAATTACTGGTTATCTGGATTTCATTGAGCGACGACTTTATGTAGTTGGGAATTTATTTTCAACACTTTTGGATCATAGAATTCAACGAACTGTTTGAGATAATAGTACTGAAAAGATTCCATGCATGTGTATATATTTATCTATAAAAGAGGAGAGTGATTAGGTATGTTGCATGAGGTGTTCCCTACATCCCCACCTGGATGATTTCTGCTTATTGTATTTACTGCTGTTCATATGCAGACTCCTCGAATTGTTTCCCTGTTATCCGAGTCCTACAACCCACATGTTCGATATGGTGCAGCACTGGCCGTTGGAATTTCATGCGCTGGTACTGGTCTGAGTGAGGCCATATCATTGCTGGAGCCTTTAACATCAGATGTTGTTGACTTTGTTCGTCAAGGTGCTTTGATTGCAATGGCCATGGTTATGATCCAGATCAGTGAAGCCAGTGATTCTCGTGTTGGTGCATTCAGGTATCGCTTGTTTTTTTACATTTGCTTTACTTATATATATATTTTTTTCTCTCCGTCTTAGCATTTTCACTTTATGTAGGCGCCAACTGGAAAAAATTATTCTTGACAAGCATGAAGACACTATGAGCAAGATGGGTGCAATTTTAGCTTCTGGAATCCTGGACGCTGGTGGAAGGAATGTGACTATCAAATTACTTTCAAAGACAAAGCACGATAAAATTACTGCAGTTGTTGGTCTTGCTGTGTTCAGTCAATTTTGGTACTGGTACCCACTTATATATTTCATTAGCTTGTCATTTTCGCCGACTGCTTTCATTGGTTTGAACTATGACCTGAAAGTGCCAAGCTTCGAGTTCCTGTCACATGCAAAGCCCTCATTGTTCGAATATCCTAAGCCAACTACTGTACCCACCGCCACTTCGACTGCTAAACTTCCTACCGCAGTTTTATCAACATCTGCAAGAGCTAAGGCCAGGGCTAGTAAGAAAGAGCTAGAGAAAGCCAATGCCCCAAAGACATCTGGAGCAGAACCGAGTCCTGCTGTCACAAGTCCGGGAAAGGGGAAATCAAGCGACAAGGATGGGGACTCCATGCAGGTCAGTACCGCCATTTGCATTCATATATGGTGCCATGCTTTATATCCTTGACGACTCCTCTTTTTTTTATATATATGCGATATGGGTATTGCCTTGTGATATGACTAACGGGATTATTGATAACTAGCCATTTCACGTTCACTAATTTCAGGTTGATATCCCCGCAGAGAAGAAGGCAGAACCAGAGCCATCTTTTGAAATCTTGACCAATCCAGCCAGAGTGGTTCCTGCTCAAGAAAAATACATCAAATTCCTTGAAGAGAGCAGATATGTGCCGGTGAAGTCAGCACAGTCAGGATTTGTGCTGTTGAAAGATCTTCGTCCTAATGAACCTGAAGTATTGTCGCTCACTGATGCACCCTCATCAGCAGCATCAAATCCCGGTGGATCAGCTACTGGGCAACAGAGTTCTGCCGCTGCAATGGCTGTTGATGAGGAGCCCGCGCCACCACAGCCATTCGAATTCACGCCATGATTTGTTCAAATTGAAACTATTGTTATATACGAGAGCTTTTGTGGAGGAGCTTGTGACATTTCCTAGGATCCAAAAATGTTAATCTGATCATAGCTTGGCTGAGTTATATTCAATGTGAATTTAAGCCTGTGGGGTCTGCTCTTTCGGCCCTTGCCTGTGGCTTTGGATTTTTAATTGAATCGTCGTGATCTCACCGGCATTTCAATCGACTCATGGGGTCTTAATAAGATACACATTTAACAGAGAAAGAATGAAAACATATCAGCTAAAATTTCAGACCAAATCACAAAAATCAGTCAAAGAGATGGCTTTAATTTTAATTTATTTTCAATTTGTTTTCTTTACTTTTTGAATTTGATTTTGTCCATGTTTGGGCTCCATTAAAATGAGATATTGGGGGAAAATGTGTATTGTAATAGTTTTTTGAAAATGTGAAGTTAAAAAATAATGAAAATTTTTAGGTTTACGTATAACATTATTTTATAGGAGAGTGTTGTTGAAAATGGGTTTTCTTTGCAAAAAATAATGCATTTTTTAAGAAAAATGAAGCTCAAACAAAGATGTCATCTATACCTCATTGGTGATTGGCAATTGTCGACAAGTTATTAATGGAGGAGGTGACAGTTTTAGTTAGTCAAGACGTTCGTTGTGAAGATAAGAAGGTAAAAATAATATAGATTAGTATTTTTCTTGGGCATATTAAGGAGAATATAAGAATTTGAAGTGTCAATATTTTATAGACGATACTTATTTTACAAATTCTTAAAACTATATATTTCGTAAAAATTCTAAAAAATACTAGTATTTCTTTCTTGCATCATCTTCGGTCTCACTACCCCATCTAGTCTAACGGAAGAGGTAGAGTAGAGGACATTTAACGTGTTATATAACAAAGTTGTTGGCTAACCAACTGTCTGCCATTTATTTAAGTGAAAAATTCATAAATACTACTTTAAGTATACACGTTTACGACGACTACTCCGATTCTGGTGAATATTCCGATGACCGTTCCGCCGTCGATTTATTCCGGGGACTGCTCCGATTCTGTCAATTGTTCAAACTCCGGCGCAACTCTGCCATATTTTTTTTGTACAGTTGACATGATTTTTTTTGTACAGTTGTGACCACTATCAGCACACCTTTCGCATTTGATGGTCACAGCTTATCGTTGTATGATCACAGCTCGGGTCACAAGTCACAGCCCATGTCACAAGTCACAACGCATGGTTGTTTGTTTATAATGATTGATAACATGATAAGATTCATGTCTCACATTTTTGTTAATAGTCACGAGTTATTTTCAAATGGTCACAAAATATATTGCACGTTGCTCAGGATTTTGTTCATAATCACATGTTACTTTCAAATGGCCACAGCACATGTCACATAATATTTTTGCACATGGCTTAGGTTTTTGTTGATAGTCACATGTTTATTTCAAATGGCCACACCATAGGTCACAGAATATTTTGCACATGGCTCATGTTTTTTTTTATATTCACATGTTAATTTCAAATGATCACAGTGCAGGCCACAGGGGTTTTTTGCACATGGCTGAAATTTCTTGTTAATGGTCACAATTTAATTTCAAATGGTCACTCGATTATAACTTGTTCACATCTTATTTGCGGGTCACATATTTACAAATTAGTTGGTCATAGATTGTTTAATGGTCACGTATAAAAAAATTTGTAGGTTACAATTAATTCGTCATCACAGATTTCAGAATTTATATGCCACACAGTCACAGATTTGCAAACTAATTGGTCACAGATTATATAATTTTTAGGTCACATATAACAAAATGGTTGGTCACAAATTAACCAACACCCACTTCCACCTCCGATCATGATCGATGTAAATTTTTAGTTGCTTTTCACGGTATAAAATATAAAACTTTTCACTAGTCCAATTCTCCTTATTTTCACTAATCTAGTTCTCTTTATTTATTCTGGTTCTTCTAGAGATGATGTGAATGAATTTGAATGGGGAATTTGGCTCTTAGACAAAAAGGCTAAAGTTTTCCACATGAGAATACCGATGGAGAGGAAATCCTCAAGGATTTGAGCCAATGGAATCTGCACTTATAAAAAGCTTCAAAGAGCCTTCATCTGAACTCTATAGGGAGAGTGAATTGCGCTCTCAAACCCATAGAGAAAAGATTCATAACGCCACTTCCAAACAAATTATAAAAATTTCTTTTACTTAAATTCAATAGGTTTTCTAATCCGCCAGCTCTCTTCGGTGTGGTTAAAGCAAATCAATCATCATCGATCATAATTCCAATAACCAAAATATCTTAATTATAGAAAAAATTAAATAAATTGAAAAAATGAAGAATGTGAAACTTACGAGAAAACGCATGAATTCACTACTGTAAGAAAATATGCGTGTCCATTAGTACCAGTGAACATCTTTGATTTTGCATCTTTTCGAATTTCCTCTGTTAAATTTCATTGAATCTGCCATTTTTGTTCAGTGGTAAACCTAGTGAGCTGTGAATATGGGCTGGGCTTTACTGGGTTACATTCACCACTGCACCGTACACCTCAACGCTGCGTCGGAGATTTTCTTCGAGTGGTTACGCCACCTTCACCGCGACCACCATTTTCAGATCTGCTAGCTTCTACGTCGTCGAGAGAGAGAGAGAGAGAGAGAGAGAGAGAGGGAGTTAACGCCACCACAACCACTCCAACGGACGCGGCCGCCTCGACGATGCTCCATCAAGTCGCCGGTGACGGAGAGGGAGAGAAGTGAGAGACGGAGATGGAGATGGAGAGAAGTGAATTTAAGATTTGATTTGGGATGAATTAATTGGGATGAAATTAAAATATAATTTATATATATATATATAATTATAATATGTATCTAATTAAAAATATCTGATTTTTGAAAATTAAAGCTTGAAATCTGATTTTAGAAAATAGGTCTTGAAAAATAGGGAATTTGGTAATTTGCACTTACCAAAATCATAGCCTCTCCCCTTAAATTCTTGAATCGCCTTGCATTTAAACTCTTTGTTACGGATTTGGCTTTTCCAACTTAGTTATTCTTTCGAGATGATTCTAGAAAGTGTCCCTTCCATGTCTCTCTATTACTACAATAAAACATTTTACATTATAATAACATAGCCTTTTCAAATAAAAATCAGAATTTGGAGTCATTTTCATAAAAAAAAAATGTAGTAAGAAGTCGATCTTGAAAATTTTTCCACCAATATTTATATATCACTAGTGGGACAAACGTGCATTGCATGTTAATTGGATAATGTTAAAAATAAGTGTGTAACAAAATAAACAATAAGCCTCGACATATAAATTATATTTACAAACTCGACATACAAATAGAAACCAGTTCGAGGATTCTTATCAGATGCAATCCATTCACATGGTTTATGTTTAAAAAAATATATAATATCTTGATTCAACTTTGAGACTAGGAAAAATTGTATTCGAGAACTCTCAACGCATTATATGCAATATTAATCTAATTTGACAAAATTGCTCACTAATTCAAAAAGGAAAATAACATTAACTATCAGCTCACCAGTGAATATGTATTTGAGAACAGGAAAAATTGTATTTGATGAACTTTTGCAGATTGAGCAAAACACCAAAACAGATGAATATCAACTCACTAGTGAATATGTGTAATAAAAATGATGACATTAATTATTATTAGTACAATGACGTTAAAGCACACATGGGCAACGCCGTTGTGGGGTTCGGGGGCAACACCCCTGGGGGTTGACCTGACCGGTTAGGTCGTGGGGGTTGAACGCCCCCCCGCGATGATTGACATATTGAAAATGTAATAAGATGTTTTATCAGTTTTACATATTGAAATATAGGAAAAAAAAATTTATATACATCTTATTATAATATAGTTTTCAATTAGCACATTAAAACAATTTACAGTTATAACATAATCCAATTAAAAAAAGAAAGAGAAAAAAAAAAAGTCTACACACTCTCTTCAATTGACCCATTTTATTTCATTTCTCTCACTACAACCTAATTGTTTTTGGATAATTTTAAAAAATGCATCTCATTGTTAAAAAAATTGTCTCCGTGCGTGTGGCACGGAGACACAGCCTTGTGTCTCCATGCGCGCACCGAGGTGTCTCCATGCTGCACGGAGACACAGGTCTCAATCTCTGTGTGCACATGGAGACACCATGTCTCCGTGCGGTACAGGGAATTTTTTTGCTCTTCTCAACATTTTATCACGGTGAGTTTTAAGAATTAATCATCAACCTAATTGTTTTTGGACAATTTTAGAAAATGTATCTCACTGTTAAAAAAATTGTCTCCGTGCGTATGGTACGGAGGCACGGCCTTGTGTCTCCGTGCACACACAGAGGTGTCTTCGTGCTGCACGGAGACACAGGTCTCCATCTCTATGTGCGCATGGAGACACCATGTCTCCGTACGGTACAGGGAATTTTTTTTTCTCTTCCCAACATTTTATCACGGTGAGTTTTAAGAATTAATCATCAATTAAGTGTACATGATTACCAAAGCTTGATATATTTATTATAAACATAATGATGAGTTTTAACAATCAATGATGGACATTAATTAGCAACATGGGTGTACATCAACAATGTACAGCAACCTCCACATATCAATTGGGACATTTCCATTACTGAGAGGAGGGAGATTTAAGTCACATATAAAACATTGGAACGTCCAATGCTCAAATCAAGCTATCAATCTCAAACAAATTATATGATATTTGATTTAAAACAAAAGAATTCAACATTTTCCAAGGGACACCCAAACAAATTATAGCCTCTCTAAAATTTCGAATTCAAATTTACTTGGGCAAAGAAGTGATGGTATTACACACGGTGCAACACACATTTGTTGCTCCACTCAGGTATCCTACACCCATTGCAGCTCTGCATTCCTGGACCATTTTAAACTATTATATATATAAAAAAAACACGTCTGTAAAATTAACAAGAAATTAAAATTGGAACGAAATCGAAATCGAAGTTTCCAGAGAAATTGAAATTATACTCACCAAATATTACGTGAAGGAACGGCGACAAAGAATCGATTTTTTGTGGTGTTTTGAAATCAGATTCTGAATCGAAATTGGGATGGAAATTGGAATTATATGGTGGAAGGTAAATGACGTTAATAAAGGGGGGAAATGCTTGTGAAAATGGAAGATGGATGGGTTGCGTGAAGAGGAGGAGGAGATGAAGGGGGAAAAATGCGTGTGAAAATGGAAAATGGGATGTGATGGGTTGCGTGAAAAGGATGAGGAGATGCGCGAGGGAAAAATAAAATTAAAAATTAAAAAAAAGCATTTTTGATGACGATTGAAAATGGCGACACCTGTCCATTTTTACTTTGGCTCTTTTAATATGTAATGATAGTGATAGTGATAGTGATAGTGAAGTGAAATCAATATTCCCTCTACTAAATCTTTGAAAATAAACTTCTGATTTTTTCTTCTTTTTTAAGATACTATTGGGCCACTAAGAATGGATCTACGTACAAATGGGCTTATAAATCAAAACCTAGCCCAAATAAAACGCATCCATATATAATTACCCAACTGCCTAAAAAGAAAAACCCTAGCTTTTCTTTCATCGTCCTCATTTGATACATACCAACGGCAGCCCCGTGAGTGAGAGAAAATGGTTTCCGGGTCGGGTATTTGTGCGAAGAGAGTAGTAGTGGATGCCAGACACCACATGCTTGGCCGCCTGGCCTCCATTCTAGCCAAGGAGCTCTTGAATGGGCAGAAAGTGGTGGTGGTCAGATGCGAAGAAATATGCCTCTCCGGTGGACTCGTCCGCCAGAAGATGAAGTACCTAAGATTCCTCCGTAAGCGCATGAACACCAAGCCATCTCATGGCCCGATCCACTTCCGAGCTCCTTCCAAGATTCTCTGGCGCACTATCCGTGGGTATGGAATTACGAAATTATTTGATGAAATATATTGTCGTGTGAATTTTTATCTTAAAAGGAATGCTTATTGCATTTTAATAGCCTGTATATGTTTAGTTTGTGGATTGAGGTGTACTGCTTATTTTGTGTTTTTGTTTATAAAGATATGTAAACATCTTCTAGGAATGTGGATACTTCTTATATGTCAATTTTGTGTGGTGAGATTTGTTGGATTTGTGAATGGAGACATACTCGTGTTATTATTGCAATCTTTGTTGTATGTAAAGCTTGTATAGATAAATTGGTACCTCTTTTGGAGTGTTTGTATACACACTAGGGCTCTTAGCTTGTATGTTTGTTGCTGATGCTTTTTTGCTGTTCTATCTGTTGTGCATAAATTTTCCTTTTTGTGAAGTATTATATTATGTTAAACATACCAATTTGGAATTTTGGCTTAATGGATTCCCATGCATGTCTCTTTACTTTTGGTTTATGGTTGTAGGGCTGTTTGAATGAGCTTTTGCTGAGCTAGCATGTAACAGTTGAAACTTCAAATATGTATTTCTACGTTTTTAGTTTTATATTAGTGGCTATTCTTCCTGTCCAGGGTTACATTACCCACGAACACGTTAGTGGGTGAATACTGTTTATTAATATGGTTGGTGTGAAGGTATTTCATGAGTTCGAAATACACAAATGCTATATCCTCTGCCTTGATGGATTTGTCATTTGTGTGGACTGAAAATACCTATTCGTTTCTTGTACTTGAAGATCAATTGTGTGCAACTGAAGATACTTTTTTCTTTTGTATCTGTGGATCATAATCGTAGTCTACTTGCCAGTGAAGAGATATGTCTAGTCTAATGTTATGTTTTGATTCATTTTTAGGATGATTCCCCACAAGACTAAGCGAGGAGCAGCTGCTCTGGCTCGTTTGAAGGTTTTTGAGGGTGTCCCACCCCCATATGACAAGATCAAGAGGATGGTTATTCCCGATGCTCTCAAGTGAGTCTTACGAAAGGAACCTTATTATTCTGTGTGTTTTGTCCATATCTTTTAACTCGTTGGCTTTTTGATAATTAGGGTTCTGAGGCTTCAAGCTGGACACAAATATTGTTTATTGGGTAGACTCTCATCTGAAGTTGGATGGAATCACTATGACACAATCAGGGTGAGTTTAGATGCTATGCTTTGTTTTTGTGCACATTGCAAAGTCTGCTTTCTTTCGATTGTTTTTATAGCTTCAATTATGGATTTCACCAATGTTATAGAATATTTCTTAAATTTGTTTACTGGTCCATTCTTTATTGTTCCACGTGGATTTACTTCTCAGATGTTTAGTCTCAAGCAATTTGTTAGCAACCGGACCTTTTAACCTTTGTTACTTGGATTTATGATGAATGTTCAACTCTGATAGTTTGAGTATTATGACTTAATTTTCTTTATGATTAAAGTATTGAGTATGCTATCTATACAAACTCGGGATGATCCCCATGTTCCTTGACATTAAAAGATAAGGCCAATAAAGTGGGTCTAATTTCCACACGTTTAATTCACCTTATCATTTCATCCCACATCACTGCACATTGCATGGGGATGATCACGGATAGCATTATTCAATATATTTGATCATACGATCTAAAAAATAACATTTATATACTGTAGGAGCTTGAGAAGAAGAGAAAGGAGAGGGCTCAGGCCACATACGAGAGGAAGAAGCAGTTGACAAAATTGAGGGTCAAAGCAGAGAAGGTGGCCGAGGAGAAACTTGGCAGTCAACTTGATATTATTGCTCCTATCAAGTACTGAAATAGGAAGTTTGTTGTTTCAAATGACAATTTTGTTGGGAATGATCTGTCCTATTGATTTTGTTTCTGTTATTTCCATTTCGGAGCAATCTATTTTCTACCTCCTGACTTCATTCTCGAAATTAAACGCATATCCATGTTTTGTTGGTGTTACCATATTGCCTTTTTCTTAGAATAACCTTGCATAGTTATTAGGGGAGGAGAACTCGTTTAATTTGAATTCTGCTTTTCTACATAATTTTTTACTGCTGTTTTATATCTATCTAAGTTAAAAGACTAATGCTATTCATCTCCATTAGGGATGAAAACACAGTCTATGTGGTGTTAATGTGGCATTAAATGATAGGTGAAATTAAATACCTATCATTTAAAGTTAACTAGACTGTGTTTTCATTCCCGCTGAGAGTGAATAACATTACTCAAGTTAAAATCACTCGTGCTGTAAGCAGACGAAATGTTGTCTTTATGGCTCCTCGGATTGTGCTAGGGTTGCACAAGTGAATTGAAGATCAAATCATGACCTTATAATAAGAACAAGAGATCTTTTTCGATCCTTTTGTCCCTCGTTACTTATGAAAACATATTTCGAATTAAAACCACATCAAGTGTGGTTCGTTAACAAATAATAAAATGGATTTTGAGTTCAAGTGTCATTTCAAGGAGATTGATTAGTTCAATTTTAATTATCGTAACCTTTATTGAAATAAGAATAATATGATGTGTTTGTTTGTGATATGATTATAAATAAATGAATCTATTTATACAATTATTAATATATTAATTAAACTAAATGCAAATTATACTAAATAAAAATTGATGTGTTTAATAAATGACGAACGTACTAAGATCCTGAATTCTCATACAATAATCTCTTTTAACCTTAGTTCTACACTTGAATAGTACGATTGAATTTTGACGAATCAATGTTCATATTTTATTTAACAATCTTTTTCGAGTAATTTAAAACCTATTCTCATATATGATACGATAATATTTTTATGACGGATGCAAACATACAAGAGTACATGATTTTTTATTGACATTTAAAGATTCACATAAAGAGTAGCGGTATATTTTATTTTATATCAAACCATATCGACACGTAGAAGCATGAATTTTCTTTCATTATTATCGTCATGGGGTCCATGTCTAGGAACGAACTAGTTTTTTTGGCATGAAAACAGCCACATGTTGCCCGGGGATAAAGAAAAGCCAGAAATAGAACATGGCAAACAACGTTGTACTCCATAGTTTCATCCTTAATTCTGAAATACTTTCACTGAAGAGAAGGATTGTGCTCTTATTTTTTGAAGTACTTTTAATCCACTTTCAACTTAAGAATTGTACATTCTTTATAATTTTCTTATATTTTCCAAGATAATCCCTTATTGAGTAGCATTTTAACTATCTTTATATCCTCTATTCTGAAAACTTGATGGTCCCGCCTTTTCCTTCAACGTCATTCACTTGAAACTCGTGTGGAGCGACAATGCTCAAGTGACATTGAATGTACTAGAGCTTAATTTAGTTTTTCCTTTCCTTCCTTGAAAAGAGAGCAGACAAAAATCCGTCTTTTAAGACATGTTTAGTACGTTAGACTAGACATGATTAAAGAATAGTAGTTATGATAAAACTCATTCGTTCTTTTTCCTAAATTTATTTAGTTTAACGTATCGAGTGTCAAACATTCTACTAAAGTACATTACCGACTTGTAATCGAGATAACGAAACTCAAAAACTAAGCAACTTCTATATCACCTTATCTATCCGGTTGGCTTCTTCCCTTTCTTTTCCTCATCAATTAGCTTTTCATTTGTACTACTCTTCACTTTCAGTTTCAACCGAAATTCATCATAACCCTACATATTTCCTAGTCTTAAATTTAATTAAATGCTACCTTAATAGTGCCTTTTTTTTTCTTAATTTAACCAAACGAAAACCCATCAACCCTTATATTTGTCCTTCTCTCTAATTAAATACACAAACTAATTTTCTGCTTTTTCCTTGATAGAAATATGCCTTCTAAATTGATAGAGTATCCAATCTATAATCTCTCCTTAATTCCATTTCCTTCTCTATATATGGTTATATACATTAACAATTTCCATAAAAAACGCTTTCTTGATTGCTCTATGTATGGCACAAATAATGTTACAATCCTATAAAATCCTAGCTTTCCACAAAAAATACACACTTCAAGAATCTTGAGGTTTATGTTTATTCATACCTCAGTTTCTCAAGATTTTTTTTCATTATTTCTGATTCTGATATCACACTTCCATTCATTGCTCCTTGACTTTCCCAGTTTCATCAAGTATATAGTTTGTACAAGGGTGTTTTTCCATCATAGTTGCAAAATCTTTCTAGTTTTCCACAAAAATATCATCTTCTGGAGTATCAATGTCGTCTTTACAAAGGTGGTGGTGTGCATTTCTAGTTCTATTCATCGTTTTGAGTGGTACTGATGCCAAATTCCATAGGCACCCTCGAAGAAAATCAGTGGTTTATCGAACAATCTTTGTTGATCCATCAGGTAAAGGTAATTTTACAAGTATCCAATCCGCCATTGACTCCGTGCCTTCAAACAACAATAAATGGATTTGTATATACATCAAAGCTGGTGTATACAGGTAAATATATGCTATTTCTCATTTTATACAAGTGTTTGAAGTATTTTTGTTATTTTTTAATGTATTCTTCTTCATCTCTTTATACAGTGAAGAGGTGAAAATTTCTTACGACAAGCCATTCATCTTCCTCAAAGGAGAAGGAAAATGGAAAACTTACGTAGTTTCGGATAATTATGGTTCAATTGAAACAAGTGCTACTTTCACTTCTGATGCAGACAACATAATCGTCAAAAGCGTGACTTTCATAGTAAGAATTTTCATAGTAATTTTAGTATAATGAACAAGATTTTAGCTAATTTTTACGTCTATTTTATTTTTTTTGAAATTGCAATTTTATGCAGAATTCTTACAACAATCCCTCTTGGAGCTCTGGTAACCCAATGAGGACAGCGGTGGCAGCAAAGATATCCGGGGATAAATCATCCTTTTATCGATGTGGGTTTTTGGGATTGCAAGATACTTTGTGGGATGTTCAAGGTAGACACTACTTCAAACTTTGCAGTATCCAGGGAGCTGTTGATTTCATCTTTGGTTCTGGCCAATCCATTTATGAGGTAACATTTTGTACGTTGTACTGGACAGTACTGAACAAAATTCGAATATGAATTTGGGTTTTGAATTCTATGCAGAGATGCACAATATCAGTTATTGCAAGCGTGCTAAATGGTATTACGGGATTCATAACAGCTCAATCAAGAAAGAGCCCTTATGAGACCAATGGTTTCGTGTTTAAGGATTGTAACATAGTCGGGAATGGAAAGACATTCTTGGGAAGAGCATGGAGAGATTATTCTCGTGTCGTATTTTATAACACCACAATGTCTGATGTTGTCGTTCCCGAAGGATGGGGTCCTTGGGTAGTTCCGTCTGGTCACGAGTAAGATCATCTAGTCCTAAGTCTTGCCGCTATTGATAGTGAATAATCATATAACTTGTATTGGTTAATGTTTTCTTTTACCTTGTTTGAACAAATTCAGGTACCAATTAACATTCGCCGAGTATGAATGTCGAGGAGTTGGAGCAAATACTGCAGGGCGTGTAAAGTGGGCAAACAAGTTGAGTGTGAACGAGTTGACTCAATTAACGAGCATGTCTTTTATTGATGAAGAAGGATGGATGAGCAAACAAGTTTTCAACATGATGGACTAATGGAGCAACCATTTAATTGCTCTTACATAGTATTTTCTTTGTTAGGACATGAAATCTAAGATGCACTCATTTGTGTTTAATGTTAATTTTCAAATTCCCTCTTGGTATCTACTTGTTTCTTACTATCCCTCTTAATACTTCACTTTTAAAGACTTCTTAAGATTTTAGCAACTTTTTAAGTTTTGGTTCAAAAGTTAAGTTGTGGGTCCCATCAAAGTATTGTGAAAATTAATTATCGATTTTTTAGTAACTTTTTAAGGTTTCTCGAAACTTAATTAACTTTGAACAAAGGGAAGAATTTAATTAAATCTTGAAAAATTTAAAAATGTTGTGAGAACGATTGTATCCAGTCCCTCCACCGCTGCTCCACACCTTTTCTAACTTGATCTGGCTGCCGAAGAAAGTCATACAGCAGGAACATGGAAATCAAACAAATCATAGCAAGAACCAATCGATGCAAAACTATAAATATCAAATACATCACAATTAAGAGTAATGCTGCGTTTAACATGAGTATAGGTGGCATCATTGGTGGCATTAAATTATAGGTTCAATTAAATAAAATATGTAATTTCACCTTTAATTGAACTTATCATATAATTCCACATAAATTGATGCTCTAGCATCAGTGGTGCTAGATGGCATTATTTCGCAGTTGCACTGGGCAGCCTTCCAACTCTCGACCACGTGTACTTCTTCAACACACTTCAAGGAAACACTTTATCAGCATAATATCCTGATAAGCCCAATCAGGTATACGAAATCTAGGCCAAAGAAGAATTAAGGAGGAGTGGCAGCAAAAAATTCTGTCAACTTGGCAGGCTGACGTGAATAAGGTGGTTATAGGGAAGTTACAAATAGAAAAGAGGGTAGGAAGGAATAGGCAATGAATTTAGTGAGTAGAAGAGTGGTGGTTGAGGAGAGTGGTAGCCCTCTCAAACGACTATTTGTTTCTTCTTTTCTTGTTGTAATCTTTTAATTCCATCAATACATTGCTGTTTCTTTTATTCTCAGAGACATATGCCCCTTCACAATTTGATTCCTATCAAATTAGTATCAGAGCACTTCATTCCCGATGACTCGAAAGAAAACAGAAGGGAGACTGGAAGTCATGGAGAAAGAAATGGAGGATTTAAGGTCAGAAATGCAGCGGTTAGCAGGCTTGGACAGATCAGTGGAGCACCTTACGCAGAGCATGGCCAGGATGATGCAATCCTTGAATGAAACCAAGAAAAAGTTGGCGGCTCTTATCCTTCCAAGACGAGTTAGACAACGTGAAATAGAAGGTGAAGTTTGCATTGCAGTATTCCGGTGCTGCTAAAATTTTAACAATATCGTCGACAAATAAGAGGTCAAAATCTAGTTAATTAACCTTTTGAACACATTTTGGGACCAGATCAGCGAGGTAGTTACATGCATTGTTGAGTGGACAGTTGATATTTTATTGTATCGAATGCTTTAATATTTTCACAATTTTTTTGCTAGTTTGATTCTGCCTCCAATTCAAAATGTTTGTGCCTGCCACTGCATACAAAGGCAGCAATGAACAGATGTATGGAGGAAGATGGATCCGAACGTGTCGGAAGTTCAGTTGGCCACCAAACAAGGGACCTATGAGGGATCAACGAGCACAAGATCGAGGCAAATGGCTGAAAGAAGAGGAAACTGGGAAACTGGGCAGTATAAAGAGGAAAACAACTGGAGACGAATAAGGAAGCTTGAGAAGCGAATGTTCTGTGGAGACAACCCAGACGGGTGTCTGTACCACGCTGAGAGGTATTTTGAGGCTAACAGGTTGATTGAAAAGGAGAAGCTCGGGCGGGGCCTGGTGTCACCCTCGACGGAGATGCAGCTTGGTTACAATGGACAAAAGCAAGGTCCCCATTTCCGACTTGGGAGCAGTTCCGACGACTTCTCCTGCTTCGATTTCGACCACCATTGAAATTAAAAGTAATTTCAATCAAAATAATTACTTGAAGTCAAATTGATGGGATCAAATAAAATGTTTTACTCGACAACTTTTTTGTTGCTGTCAAAGTATCAACATATATATTTGACTGACTGTTAAATCTAACGAAAACTGAACAGTAATTTATCGTTTCAACTTTAGCAGGTTTGTCTTGAATGAGCCTGTCCCTCTAGACAAATATGTTAAACAGGACAGGCACAATAATTATGAAAGTAAACTTTGCCCGAGATATGAAAATCTTTTGTGAAAATTACTGATACTCTCTAGTTACTGTTATTTTCCTGATGCACGTTCCAATTGCTCGCTAGCTTCCTCAAACGACAAGAGCTCTTGAAAGAGAGATGTAAGTTTCGCCTCGTTATCTTCGCGGATATGAGCTGGAACTTTTTCTTGATAGCCAGATGCACTTGTTATTTTCAACAAGCTATCACGTTGCCTGCAAAACACGTCAAGTTATTGACCCGGCAAACGAATAAAATGATGGAACTATTTTCTTTCAATCAACTATTCGATTGACTCACTTTTCTATCTCCTCCATCTTTTTCTTGAGCTTCTGGCGTTCAGCTTCTACGTTAATGTTTCCTTGTAGCTTGAGGAATACCGAGAGAGTTTCATTAACCACATCTACCTTACAACCCACTGGAGCATCATCACTCTCGCTTAAAACCTAAGAAATTTAAGATTGAAAATTTTCACAATACTTCCAATATCATTATGAAAAGAATGTTAAAACTGAAAAAGTCGCTCCAAAAAAAAACTTAAAAAGGACTTTTATCTCTTTAACTTAGATTTTTCAGTGAGGTATTCGTAACAAAGACATTACTACAAGTATACAACTGCAGGCCATCAAAGATGAAGCCAAATACATACCTCCAGGGATGATGATGTTGCTAGTGTAGTGATCTCCAGTTCATGGCTTTTAATGATATTGTATGCATCATTTAGACGGCAACGCACATATGCTGCTCGCCTGGAAGCAGAAACATTTTCATGTTAAGCATGACCAAAATTATGGAACTGTCCATATACCTAATAAAGCAATTAGGAAGCCACAAAATTTCTTCTCTGAATCAACCACTTGGAGTACCAGAATCAAGTGGATATTGAGGCATGAGTACTGAAAGGAGTATGCAGGTCTAGCCTCAAATAACAGTACAAATCCATCTTATTGTTGTGCGACTTGAAAACATGGTGCCAAAACAAACATATTTTATGGAAAAGACCAACACTAAGTCCATGTTATGTGCAGAACGTTGGGCAGGTCTAGACACTTCAATAAACAAGATTTTAACTTATTCTTTTTCCTTAATATTTCGAGTAATATCTATCATCCCTACTATACAAACCCAAAAAAGATAAAAATTATCCAACACATTTATAGCATTTAGTCTATGAAGTTTACCTTTCATGTCTCTCCTTTGGTGCTAGAGTTGACCGAAGAGACCTGAGCGATTTAACCACTGATTCAACCATATCCATCTCCAACTCCACGTTGTCATTTGTCCAGCACTGTAGAAAGAGGAATAAGGATAGGGTGACAACTGAGCTTAAGTTCTAAACAGAATTTGATGACATGAGTTTGTAAATAATACAAATAGACTGGATAAATATAAAAAAATTACTTTAAAAAATCAACAGGAAGCAGAATTATGGAGCAACCTATACAAAGTTACTAACAGTCACATTGAAAGCAGGTGTTGGGAAGTTAGATTAAAATTAGGATTGTTAATTGTCTGTCAACATAAAATTATTGAGCAGCATATCAACTTTTAACAATGTTCTGATTTAAATTTTGCAGTACCTGAAATTGCCAAACTGGTGATTTCTTTTACCATTATTTCTACCACAATATTGGGTTATTTTTCCTTTAAGTGGTAGGTGGTGGTGGCTAGGTCAGTGGGGGATCTTGATTCACTAATATCACAATCCTGAATTTCCAACCAAAATAACATCATAACAATACTTGCATAAAAGCACTGGATCATATTCACTTCTATGTTTTTGCAAGATTTGCCAAGCAAATGAGCCTGAAAACGTTTCTCCTAGCTTGAATACATGCCCCCTTAACTCTTTGAATACAGAAGTTTATGATCTTGGCATTAAAAGAACTCTCTTCTCTTCCAAATGTTAAAAGACAAAACAACTTTCAAATGTATATCATATAGTGATGAAACCAAATAATAATGCTCATCCCAGTATGAAGCTGTAAACTAATATATCAGATGAGCTTGTGCCTAATTTCATTTGCTCAACCAACAAAGATGTTTCAAAATCACGCTGCATTAACAAAGTATATCAGAAAGTAGTAGAGTAAAAACCCAATAAAGGAAAATAGCAATTAGCACACAAAATCCATTGGAATGTCAAAAAATGATCTCAACCATTGTTTGGTATCCTCCATTAAACAGCATAGAAATGTATGTAGATCTTACCTCTACAGGTGATGGATATTCACATATCACAATTGATTCTTTCCTCATAGAATCTTTTCTAGAAGGAAGACGCTGCCACAGTTCTTCTGTGACGAATGGCATAAAAGGATGAAGTAACCGTAAGCCATTATCCAAACACACCCACAAAGTATCTTGTGCATGTCTTCTCGCAGATTCTGAATCATTGCTGGCAAAATAGGGCTTGATAACTTCAATGAACACATCACACAATTGAAACTGCCACCATGAGTATACTGCTGTTGTTGCATCAGAGAACTCGTAAGATTCTAAAGATAACACTGTTTTTGATATGGCTTTGTTCAAAACAGAGAGTATCCACTTGCACCCAAATGGCATGACATCGGGAACTATCTTTGTTGGAGGCGTGTAATCATCTCCAAGTTTACTCATGGCAAACCTTATAGCATTCCACAGCTTGTTACACCATTGACGATAGCCAACCACCCTTTGAATGTCCAGATTTATTTTATCCGACTGAAATGTAATGAAGTGAAGTTACTGAACTCATAAAGAGAAAAACTAATTAAAAGGAAAACCCCAGAATTTTTACCTGAGCTGTGTAGGAAACAAGGGCAAAACGTAGAGCATCTGCACCACATTCAGGTATTCCATTAGGAAAGTCCTTCACCTGCCCCTCTTTTGCAGTTTTCAATTCATTCGGATCCAAATTACCCTCCTCCAGCCTTTTGTGAAGACCTTGCAGGGTTATTCCATTAATCACTTCAAGAGGGTCAATAACATTTCCCAATGACTTGGACATCTTGCGTCCATGTGCATCACGAATCATCGGGTGCAAATACACCTGCACCAGAGGAAAATGCATCTTAATTTGGAAACGAATAAACCACCAATTGAACTTACTGTCTTAAGAACAGAAGCATAGTGTGACAAAACTGATTAACTTCAACCAGAGATTTAGCTGCTTTCTGTCAAAAGTAACAGAAGCAATGAACCAAACCTATTTTCAACAGACACCCAGTTTTTCTGAGAACTTCTCACACTATTTTTTTAAAATTGATTGTAGATAAACACCTTAATGGGAAACAATCTTGGGGGAAAATCTTAACAGTTAACATGCAGGCAGTGGAATCATCACCATAGTACAGCATGGTAAGCATCAGCGTGATATGAAACTTAGAATGGAAGTTTGAACTTTGAAACACTTGATTCAATTTTCAACAGTTAAGAAGCTTAACGGTACCTACAAAGTACAAAGGGTCTCACCTTTCTGAAAGGAACATCACCGCCAAGCTTCATTCCCAACATCACCATACGAGCAACCCAAAAGAACAGAATATCATGCCCAGTTTCAAGAACAGATGTAGGATAAAATGCTTTAAGATCATCCGTATCATCTGGCCACCCCAACACAGATAATGGAAACAGACCAGCAGAAAACCAGGTGTCCAGAACATCAGGATCTTGTGAAAGTTCAAACTTCTTCCCAGCAAAGATTCTGCTAGCTTCCTTCTGAGCCTCTTCCTCGTTTCTAGCAACCACCCAATGATCATTGTATGCACCTAGTTCCGTCAGTTCATCATCCTCCAATTTTGCATACCATGCAGGAATACGATGACCCCACCAAAGCTGCCTTGAGACGCACCAATCACGAATGTTCTCAAGCCACCTGCAATATCCAAGGTCCACATAATGGTACCAAATTCACACGCATGCATGCACATGAACATTTACATCAAACAGAATGTAAAATCGAGGATAACATTAAAATAATGTCTCTTTAAATTGTATTTCAGTATAAAACATCAAAGAACTGTATAATTCAGATGATACCTCTTCCATTCAGCAACATATTGTTTTGGTACTATCTCCATTTTCCTACTTGTGTCATCCATTACAGCATCAAGAGCTTGCTGGGCCATGCTTTTGCAGTTAACATACCACTGGGGCTTAATGAGGGGTTCCACTACGTCATTGGTTCTTGAACAAATTCCAAGACGCATCTCATTATTTTTGTCACCTCTGTAGAGTGCCTGAATTGCAGAAGAAAGTAAATGTAAACATAGTTGTGATGATTAGACATTCCACCCAAGAAAAAAAACCCTCTAAGTTTGCAGCAAAGTTTCAAAAATCATTAATTCAATGTCCAATAAGGCCATAAACACTCTTGGTAAAAGAAGTAAAAATTGAAGTTCACCAAAGATATCAAAGCTAATTTGTAACTGGTGTTTGGCACTTCTGTCAGTGCTAGAGCTGTTTTAGAGTGTGGGCACTGATATAAATATAGATAGGTAGGAATACCTTTTCCTTTAAAGCCTCGGTCAAAGCCACACGAGCTTCAAAACGTGGCATCCCTACAAACTCAGGACCACCATTGCTATTTATTTTTCCATCATCCGTGAAAATATTGATAAAATCTAGATTATGGCGTTTTCCAACCTCAAAATCATTTGGATCATGGGCTGGAGTTATCTGCAAGATAAGGGAGGTAGCCATTGGCATTGAACTTTCTGTAGTAGAAAAGGAAATTGAAGGACATCATTTCTTAGCACACAAAAATAACCCTTACCTTCACACAGCCAGTCCCAAAATTCATATCTACGAGCACTGCATCACAAACTATCGGAAGTCTCCTTCCATTGAATGGATGGATTGCAAATTTTCCATGAAGATGGGTGTATCTTGGGTCTTCTGGATGTATAGCAATAGCAGTATCACCCAACATTGTTTCCACTCGAGTAGTCGCCACAACAATCTCTCCCAAGCCTCCTTCCAAAGGATAAGCAAATGATGTCAGCACTCCAAACTCCACAGGTTTTGCATATCCAGGAACCCGTAATGGAGTTCTCTCTTTGATTTCTACATAATCCACCTGAAGACGCCAAAGCAATGTAGAAACTTAGGATACAATCAAATACCACTACCTTTAAAGCCAATGGGCCAAATTAGCTCTATCTACCTCAATATCAGATATTGCAGTTCTCAAGATACAATCCCAGTTCACAAGACGGAGATCCCTAAAAAGAAGGAAAGATAAAGAACATAAATATGCAGAAGANTTGCGCCTAACAGTGTCATAGGAGTAATGTAATCACAATCACAGGAGTATCCCGTGAGGCCAAATACCAATTAGTGGTCAAATCAGCAGGAATAATTTGAGAAGGTTAGGGTGTGCAAATGCCAAACTCAACCACTGAAATAGATCTTATTGCATCCCAAAACTGGCACGAAGGATGTCTCATGACAAATCAGGGCCCACAAAGAAGGTCAGTACAATTAGTTGCAGTGCAAGGAACCACCTAGAGAACAAGGTTAAAACAACAGATGATGAGATATGAACATACCTATATATAAGACCCGCCTTGTAAAGTCTGAGAAATGCCTCAGTCACAGCCCTAGATCTTTTTTCGTCCATGGTAAAGCACTATGTGGCGAAGGGTTTGATAGATATTGAGCAGGAAAGAACATCATAAAACCAATTATCAGAATTGAAATTGACCATACAACACCACTAAAAGTGTCCATATTATATAAATGAAGTGATATCCAAAATTATTACCTCTCGAGACCAATCCAGAGAAGCACCCAAACCCCGTAGTTGTTTTAGTATGGTACCTCCATACTCATTCTTCCATTTCCAGACCTATTAACAAAATCTGTGAATAAGTTGTGGAAGTTCAAATATATGAACTTCATATCCTTTTTTTTTACGTTGAGAAGTATTTATTATATGGGTAAGCTTGAATACAAAAGGAAAAAAATTATTATAAGAGATAGGATATATATGGCTAGACTCACTTCAGCTACAAAGCTTTCACGACCAACATCATGCCTCGTCAATTTCCTTTCCCTCATAATCTTCTTCTCCACAACAACCTGAGTGAGTTTACATGAATGTCAGTTAAATATAATAGGGAAGCAATTTTGAGAGATAAAGATAAGTCAACATACATAGTAACAACTCTCCCCAAATTTTTAAGAGCATATTGACTGTTTGTATGGGTCCTTTCAATATTTTTACCATTTAAAAAAAAAAACTCACTAGGATAACAAAACATTACCCGATAACCGCTGTCATTTCAGCTTCCTACATTTTATACGTATATAAAATTTAATCAGATGAAGTGACTGCTTTGACATTTTCTGCACTTAATCTTACAAGTCGAAAAGGCCTTACCAGATTAGTTTTCGTATAAAAGACACACAGAACATGTTCTTTTCAATCATTCCCAAATTTTTTTTTTTTGATAAGTATCATTCCCAAACTAATTTTGAAAAGAATTCTGTCATGAAGACAATCTTTTTCTGCAAACTACTGTGTCTAACTAATAAATCACAAAGTTCAAGATTCATTGACTAATATCTTAACCCCAAGTTTGTTGTTATTATCATAAGGTATGCATGGAACTTAGGATTCTCAACATTTGTCACCTCTCCAGCCAATAATCTGACACCAGACTGCTCACGGTGAGACAGTATAATTAAAATAGCCAAAATCTCATGGCACGGCAAGATGATAGTCAGCAACTTGTACATCATGTTAGACAACCAAATTCTCCCCGAAAGAAGTTAGAGGAAATAGAAGGTTATGAATGTACAACCTGTGTGGCAATTCCAGCATGGTCCGTACCAGGCACCCATAATGTATTGTATCCAGACATTCTTCTCCAGCGAATAATTGTATCCTGAAGTTAAAATATTTTGACATGAAAAGGAAGTCCTGGATAAACTTTCACAATTGATAGATCAAACAACACTAGAAGACCTGGATTGCAGCAGTAAGGGCATGGCCAATATGTAGAGCCCCAGTGACGTTAGGAGGTGGTAAAACCTGCATTCACAAGGAGAAAAGTATATAGGAGTAATTAAACTAAACAGACAATTCAAATATCACGTATAGAAACACTTCCTTACTCTATTCCTGCCTTTCCTCTCATCTATTCATATAATGATCTCAAGCTTTTCTTTTCCCCATTCAACACATTGGAAACTTCCAAGTTCCATCAAAATTGAATATGTCAATTTCATAAGAAAGTATGTGAAGCTATTTTATCATCACCAAAACAAGATCAAATCACACAAACAACATGCCATCATCACAGGAGAGATCAGCATACACTAGTACCTTCAAGCTCCAGACCAAAACACTATTTTTTAACACCAAAAATACAAGGAAAAATTGATTTTCCAACCCCTTGTTGAATGTATCGCAACGCCATTTAAAGACAGTTTTTGGATCAGTAGAAATATCAAATGTGCATATTTAGAGGTTCAGAGTCTTCATCATATTGCTACTTTTCCATACACAAATTAATTCACTGTGTAACTAAGACAGTTAAACCCATTATTCTGGGACAATAGATCGTTACAAGAGTTAGCACGTTAGTAACTGAAAAGTCGCTAGAGCTCTCATGCCTATAATAGAACACTCTTAATATTTTTGTATGCAGAGTATTGTTGACCCATTCATTATCAATGGATCACATTCGTGCTATGTTGATTCTCCTTCCATTTGCAGCTGCCACGAATAAAAAAAGATTCACATTTCTATATATCTCACTTAATGTCTTTGAAATTATAATCTGTTTCAAAAATTATTCACGTGCATATGAAAGGAAAATAATAAATTTGAATGAAGAACGTAAATTTTCCAAGTAAAATTTGATATTTTCCACCTCTTCTAATTTTGTTGATACGGTTTTTGCATGAATAACCAAATTTAAATTTGACATTTATATGGTTAGAATTACAAGGGTCAATAAATAAGGAATTCCACAAGCAGTGTGCAAAAAGCATGCACGCGATTTGGTAAAAATATCCTACTACCAGGAAGGTGTGGCAGCACCATAATAGTCTAAACTGAATGTTTCTACGTATCTGCTACCTTATAGTTTCCAATATAACTCAAGTTTCACATCAAGGTTTACGATTGTAGGCTGTCTGAATATTGATAGAAAAAATCTTAGTATTTTTGTACATACAAATTATTTTTATTAGTCATACAGAATTCCATTAATTTCACATTTCCTCATATTGCAAACTTTTTTCCCTTTATGTTCTTGTTTCTGAGATTCTCAACTATCTTGAAGGCATTACAACAAGCTCCCTAGAGAACCAGGTTAGCAGAACCATTGTTCTATGTAATTGCTTGAAAATGAAAATATGGTGAAACAGCCAAAAATTTGTAATTGATAGACATAATATACACTGGTAATGTCCAGAATACATACACATGCAAGCCCAAATTGAAACCGTTAGACAGTGAAAGATAGGAAAAAAAGAGAGATCTAGAAGATGAGAAAATGGGAAATCACAGTTACATGTTTCTTTGTCAACAGGTCCAATTCAGTTCATTTCCATTTGTAACTATATTTCATTTTTTGAATGGCTTTTCAGTACCTCAGGATACACAATAAAGACTATCCACCTATTCACCAATATAATTTCATCACTATGTTTTCACTTATATTGGCAAGTAATAGCTGAAATAGTTAAACAATTACATTTTACAGCAATGCCAAAGGTTCATGGATAGACTTACAATGACAAAAGGGGGTTTTGAGCTGCTAGGGTCTGCCTCAAAGAATTTTGACTTTTCCCACCATGCATACCACCTAAATTAGAAATTTGAAGGACAAGGAAATATAATAAATCAAGCATCCAATAGCAGTGAAGGGGAAAAAATTATGAGCTACTTACGATTTCTCAACAGCACTGGGATTGAACGTCTTTGCCATTTGACAAGATAGTTTTTTCTTCTCACCAACAGATGTTTCTGGGTCAATGTAATCCTCAGGGTTTTCATCCTCGGCTTCTCTTTTTACATTCTTTTTCTTTCCTGACTTGGGAGCATTAGAGGCTTGCTGTGCCTTCAGTTGCAATAGAAAAGCATGAAAATAATAAGCAAAAAGAAACAAGGAAAAATAACTGCACTATCCCTTCAGGGTCAGCATACAGAAACTCCAAGCTAAGAGGGTATATATGTTAGTGCACCTGAAGTTTGGCTGCCTCTGCTTTTTGGGCAGCCTTAAGTTTCTTCAACTCTTTCTCTTTAGCCTATGGAAGAACATGTCAAATGACAGATGATTAGGTCAACAGTTCAAATAAAAATAAATAATCAGAAAAAAAAAGCAGCACCCATTTCGCACAAAAAATCCAAGTCTAAATCCAAATCAGGCAAATTAAAACAAAACAATGGTCCATATGAAATCCAGGGACTCTTCTCATAAACAGAAGACTAGTAATTAGGAATTTTCCAGCACTTGGTCTTGGGAAAAAAAGCTGCAAAGACACATTTAATCACAAGTGCTTAGAACAAAAAAAAAAAGCAATTCAATATAGCACAGTGTTTCAGAGAACTTGTATATCGAATTAGCGAATTAGATAGATGATCTAGCAATGATGGAATTTCTATTCTGTTTACTGATAACTGAATCACATGAAATTTTACCCAACTCCCTACTTTAATGGAATATATGAACTACGATTCATCCCTGACCTCATTCAAGAATTTTCTTTGATCCAATTCGTAGGAATCAATAGAAAAAGCAAATCCCTTATGATACACCAGATCCGGCTCGGTTGAATAGAAATTCCATCATTGCTAGATCATCTATCTAATTCGCTAATTCGATGAAGAATGGACCAATAATGGGATTTTTTGAGAAATATTTTCTACTTCTAAAAATTTTGAAAGGAAAAATAAAATTACTTCGAAAAGTTTCAAACGGCGGACTTAAAAAGCCACCTACAGACGCTTTACGCCCAATCATTCCGGATAACGCTTGCATCCTCTGTCTTACCGCGGCTGTTGGCACAGAGTTGGCCGATGCTTATTCGTCATTATGTATTGAACAGAGGTAACTAGTAGTTTTGTTGGTTGGTTAGTTGGTCACATTTTATTCATGAAATGGCTTGGATTGGTATTAGTCTGGATACGGCAAAGTTCCGAAGAACTGACTTCGTGTCTAATTCTAAGACCAAGGCCACGATCCCAAAACCATGTTGCCCAACCTAGCCTAAGAGAAACTCAAATTCCTTATATACTGAATCCGAGATGATTATAAATTTAGACCAAAAAATTAATAAACAACAATTGGTTCTCAGACCTTTTCATCTTTCTTCTTCTTCTTTTCCAGCTCCTCTGGTGTTAGTTCCCGCGAGTCCATTGACAATACCGCCTATCACGGGAAAAATAAGTTGCTTTAGGAAAAAGAACCAAGCAAAATTTCCTTTCTTTCCTTAAACAGTATCAAGGACACAAATCCACAAGACCAGGCCAATATTACAAAATGTTGCAAATTTAAGCTAAAGAAGATATAAGCCCCTTGATGAGCCTACAAAGATAAAAAAATGTATTTGACTATGAAGGACGGTGATGGAGAGAAGAAGAACCTGATAAGAGAAAAATAGTGGATTCAACAGTGGCGTTACATGGTGAGAGTGACAGACGAGGCAGAGGTAGGTATGATTCTGGGTATTAAGGACTGAGGATAACAGTTTAGTGACTTGTAACTTATTCCCAGAAGAATTTAATCAAATAATCTTTGGAAATTAAAGCATGAGACTCGAGCACGTTAGCAAACATGTGAAAAAGTGAACGTTATAAATAAAGAAAATAGCTACAGGGAACAAAAATGTAACGACAAAAAAGGAAAGAAAAGTAAATCAACACTGAATTATGCATCCTTGAGACCTTGACTGCATTTCATAGTTTCATGCTTTTGTGGATAAAGTAAATATGAAAGAAGGCAATCTTTCAGCGGACAATAGGGATGGGCACGATCTGGTTACAAAGAGAACTGAAGTCAAACTGAGCATCATGTGTATCTTAAAAATGAAACTGGTTCCATCTCTCATTGTTGAGAAAAATGAAGGATGAAAAGAAGGTATAGCGAGCCTTACATTTCAATATGCACATTTAACACAATACATTAACTTAAAACACAAAAATGAAAAGACAACAAAAGGTACCAAAACATGCAATTTGGTGCCCAATTCACAAATTCTCAATCCAAAATGTCCAATTTCAAGCCTCCATTTTGGAAAAATTTATAAACGGGTTATTTATAAATAATGAGTGTTAGTACTTATGGGTCATTGAAGTGTGTGATTGAAATAAAGTTTGGCCATTTGCCCATTTATAAATGATATATAAATGTTGCCAAATGGAGGCTAATATAAAATACACAAATCATCACGTGCAACACAGAAAACTCTTGTATATGATCAAGTGTGTTACCACAACAAGATAGCATTTTTCAATAGATTGAAACCATGATTTTTCCAAAATCACAGCAAAAACTAAAAGAATCAATTGAATTAAATTAAAACTTCATTGGCAAACAAAGTGCAGTAGCGTTTTACTAAAGTAAAAAGAAAATAGTGAAGCACCTAAAGAACCAATCTTGAAAAACAAACCATAAACGGTTAAAATTTTGAAATACATTTCACAGCTTAAAAAATAAATAAAAAGGTAAAGAAGATAAATGACTTGACCATTTTACACAAGCAGACGGAAGAAGGGTACAATTATTTCCAATCAAGAATTTCACATCAACGTAGAAACTTTCAAATCCTCAAGAAAATGAAACGATCAATTAACAATAACGTGCAATAACATAGAACTTCAAAATGCATTAAAATAAAAAGAAATGATATTTTTCTTATACAGGAACCGAACACAGAAAAATGTAAGGAAAACCGTAAAGAAGCTAAATCTAGTCATGGAAAAAATAAAATAAAATTCACTAAGAATCTCCTTTAAAAAAAAAAAAGATTACCCACAATCGAAAAAGAGCTGAAAATTGATTTTCAAACAACTGCTTAAAGTCGATGTTCAACCATACCTGGGTGGTTTAACTAGCGTTGGTGCCTTGGTGGTTTAGGGAGGCTGCTAATTGGCGGCCCGAGTGTTATCGCTTGTCAGGCAGGGTGGCGGAGGTGGACTTGGTGGTGGGCCGAGGGGCTTTGGGTTGCGGGATAAGCAATACTGGTTTTAGGCTGAGAAGCAATTGGGGATGGGTTAGTGAGTTTCTTTGGGCTGGGCATAGGCAGGTAACTTACAGTGAAAATTACATGACCCAGAGATTTGGAGATTCCATTTCATAAATCATAAATTATATGTTTATTTCAAAAGTAAGATGTATTGGTAAATAATTAATAAATATTTTTTTAAATATAAACACAGTGTTTTTTTTTTGGAGAGAGAGAGAGAAGAATACATATCAAATTAGAGAGAGAAAAACATAAATATCCAAATTTAATTCCATATGGAGAGTTGAAGAAACCCTCTCACGTTAAACCTCCCGTTCTTCCAAAACTCTACCTTCGTCTTCTCTATAAATCATCAAATTTTAGTAAAAATAATTCTTCATTATTATCATTCTATACTTGCATTCCGATTTCATCATATTCTATACATGGTTTTCACAGTCGCTACGTTTTTCTTTCAATAACACCCGATTGTGAAGATGATTTTAACAAGGAGCAATGATCAGAAAACTCGTGCAAATATTGGTGATAAATTTAGAAGAAAACCAAAGAAAATAAAAAGCACAAAGGTGCACAAAGTTTCGAAGCCCGAAACAAGTCACATTCCAAAAATGCGATTCGAGGAATTGTGATCTACTTTTGGGTGAAGCAAACTCTTATTGTGTAATTTGTGAAATATATGTACAATCGAACCTATGTAATTTTTGTGACCATCTTGGTGTTTTTTGTGACCAGGTGCGTCTTGTAACTTATGGTCAAACTGTGACCAATTTTATGAATAGAAACGATTTTACGTGTTTTATGTGACTCATTATGTGTTTGAATCATGTACTTGTAATATGACCATATTTGCATAGAATTTGTCACCTTAATTATATGTGACCTATATAGAGTCTATGATTAAATAGTTGTATGTGACATGCATATTGTTTGACATAAATGCATTTACAAGTATTAAATATTGATGTATGTTTGTTATTTTTATCATTTAATTGCAGGAATCGAAGTATATTATACCGGAAGCTTTATGGATTTCTGGTAAAATTACTACTAATGCAACAAAAAATGTGTTGTCGAATTTTACATCAAAGTTCAACGATGAACAAAAAACAGATCATAGCTGATACATGCTTATCCTATTATGTGGATTACCATTTGATAGTTGTTCAACCTCAACAAATACATTATTTTCTAATGCGAGAGGTGAAACAATCGAATACGAAAGAGATGTGGTTCAAGGTAGTTGGAAGGTATATACGGTTTTCTTTGCCCCAAATTCTGTCTAGTTATGGGACTTCGATACTAGCGTATGGACCTTAGGAGAAGTCTTCAAAATACATATCCTAGGATTAAGGAGATATATTTTGGACGCTTGAACTTATTCACAAATGAAGATATTAGAAACATATTCCTTAGCACCAGGTACGACATCACATTACTGTCACTCTTTATTAAGATGAGAGGCATATCATTGTTCAATGTACACTTCAGTATGATTGCCACTTTAGTTTGATCCAAACCGAACTTGCTCATAATAGTGTTTACCAGCTTCGTATAACAACAATGGCGATCAACCAATACTAATGATACTTGTGATCCATTCAACAAACATACATGCACGTACCCCATTTTTGCAAATTTTCACGAAAAAATGTCACTTAGCAAAACCAATGTAATTTAGGATTAATGCATATCACAAAGTCACATTACATACCACATAATGAAGTAATGCATGTAACACTACCCTAGTGAAAAGGTCACAACATGAAATATAAAGGTCACAATTTCATATTACAAGTCATATGATTAAGACTACCGGTCACCATCATTTTATACAATATCTTCAGTCAAATGGATTAGATATAAGTCACATTATAAATTCAGGATCACAGATATTGAATACAGGTCACCTTAATTTACTATTTCTAAAAATTCAACATCATGTGCAAACGATCAATTACACAAAACTTTTTGAACATCACAATTACAAATATTACAAACATAAATTAGATACCATTTCAGAATCCAATGTAATTCAAGATTAATGCAAATGACAAAGGCACATAATGAAGTAATGCATATAACGCTACCTTTGTAAAAAGATCATAACATGAAATATACAGATCACTATTTGCATTACAAGTCACATGAATAAGACTACTGGTCAGCATCAATTTATACAACATCTTTAATCAAATGGTTTAGAATAAGTCACGGTATAAATTCAAGGACACATATATTGAACATAGGTCACCTAAAGTTACGTATTTCAAAAAATTCAACATCATGTGCAAAAAATCGATTACACGAACTTTTCGAACATCACAATTACAAATAAAATTCACATGGAATTCAAGTTACAAACATAAATATCAGACACAAAGCACGACATACCTGGATAGTAATCCAATTCATCGATTTTGCATATATATAAAGGAATCTCTAAGTTTTGAAATTGCAAACTTATTACCTTAAATCTGAAAGATTGAGAAATACGTCGTGATCAATTAATTTGATAAATTGTGATTGAGAAATTTCTTGTGACCGAGTAATTTGATAAATTATGATCGCGGAATAAATTGTGACCTATAAAATTCGTGATTTATGATCGAGAAATACGTTGTCACCAATTAATTTGATAAATTATGACCGAGAAATAAGTTGTGACCCACAAAATTTGTGATTTGAAATTGTGACGTTGTGTGATTGTTACTAGTACATAACTGCGACCATAAACAGTATGATATTGTGATCGTAATTTATTTAATTAGTACAACGTGATTTTTGGAAGGAATGTGTTTTGGAGAATCCTTTGAAAAAATAAAAATAAAAATCAAGTTTGTCAAGATTGAGATTGTATTTTTAAATATAGATAGTTATGTATTTTACCCATTGAAATGTCTCCTTTTTTTTTTTTTATTAAATATATTCCACTTTTTGTTAATTTAATTGAGGAAGAATAGGCACTTGTATGATTTTGGTGCTTTATTTTGCCTAAAGTTGTCTGCCACAATAGCACTTATATAAACTGCCAGATTGATATTGTCTGAAAAGGATTTGCTTTTTACCTTCTTGTTTTAGTATTTGAATGAAGTTGTGTTAAGTACAAAATGTTACTTTCAAGTAACATACCATGTTACTGGATTTGAATGAAAATAGTATGTCATTGAGTTGA